GAAATTAAGAGAATGCTCCGTCTGGATGGACTTCAAATGGACAGTTTGGCGTCGGTGTTGTCAAAGTGTGGTCCTTTTGTGATGAATGATAATATAATCCATTATAGATGTATTTATGATAATGTATTGCATACTAGTAGCATATATATAGACTTGTTTTATTATAGCGTAATTTGGGGGACATAAAGTAATATGTAAACCAACTTGCATGTAAATGCCCGTGTAAAAGTTACAGAATCTAAAGCTGTTAATTACCAGCCTCTCTTATTACTGATAATCTAATACTTCGGACTCTCATCAAAAAGTATCGAATGCTTGAAATTTTTTTGAACAGTCTATACACATACAGTCTTTCACTGTGCATGCATTACAGATCAACGGTACCTTTTGAACGTGACACAACAAACGATCAGAATATCCTGACTATACATAATAAATTAGCAAAAAGGCCTTTGGCATCCTTATAGGGCAATTCCCGATCACATGGATGTATTTGCGTAGTTCACATGTCTACACACGGTGCTGTCAAATTCGCTTAGCAACAATGAATTATTCGACGCGTCTTTTTTAAGAAATTGCTTATTAAAGTACAGTTTGTGATGCCATAGCGCTATTTTCAGGGCACGTTATAATATTTTGTATATCTACCCTTGACTTTTAGCACCGTTGTAAAAACATTTCCACGTGTTCCGTTTGCGGATATACAAGTAACTCATTTATCTTTCCGAGACCTCGTTTCCTTTGTGTGACATCGTATTGCGGACGCAAATGTTGAATTTCAAGTCTTCCGAAAATGGAGATGACGTATTGGTCAAAGATACCTCAATATTAATATTAAGCAAGAGACACTTGCAATCTTTATCACAGGATAATGTCAGTCAAACTTCCCATAATTTCCTTGTCACCGTTAACATCTCCAAATTCTTCTTCACGGGCTTCAAGACAGTCTGTGGCAAAGGAAATAGACCATGCATGTCGTAGCATGGGGTTCTTTTATATTGTTGACCATGGAATACCCGAGGAGCTTTGCGAGAAAGTAAGACGTTTGGGTCATGAATTTTTTAGTTTAAGTGATAAAACAAAGAATAAGTACGGAATTGCCAATCAAGATTATGCAAGGTAAGATGTTGTATCAAATAACATACTTGTGAAAGAAGAAGAAGCAAATGACCGATTTTGAACTAGCTGAGTTTATGAGTACATACCATTACTGTATTATTATCCTCTGTTAATAATGATGTCGGTATATTGACCAGAGGATACCAACGTCTGGGCGAGAATGTCACGAGATACCAAAAAGATTGGCATGAAGTAAGCGCCTTTTGTTTTAATAGAACCATAATATTTATTCCACATTAATATTAAAAACAAAACTTTAATTTATTATTATTATTATTATTTCATTAACTCCTTTGCTCACCTAAACTTCTTTATATCTGCAGGCCCTTGACTACTACAAGCCAATTCCTCGTGACCACGTCCTAGTTCAACGCAAACTCCCACTTCGTGGTGAAAATCAGTGGCCCACAGAAATAAACGACTTTCAATTTGTATTCGAAGAGTATGTCGAACATATGAAACGTCTGGGAGCACAGGTCATGTCTAGTATTGCTCTTGCGTGGGGTTTGGACGAAAATTATTTTGTCAGGTTTTTAGACGAATCGTTTTGGTGAGTATTGACGACGAGAGGAATATTTGTGTAACATGAAATCGTTGCATTGAAATATTTAAGCGTGAGAACCGTTTAATTACAATAAATGTTACCACTGATTATGATAGGGTGATGAGAATAATTGGATACCCTTCTTTGACAACTGTTGAAGGGAAAGACAGAGTTGGGGTTAGTTGTGGAGAACATACTGGTAAGTTTATAACTTCTTAATACAATATCACCCGTTCTACGCTTATAATTATTTCTGCCTCTCTTTTTTTTTTAAATAGATTATGGGTAAGTAAAATTATCCAGGTTTCTTTTTTTTTTTCGTCCGGATTTGAATTCCGACCACAATGGTCCCTTTGCTTTCTCTGAGAGCATAAGTGCGGACATGCTCTCCAAATGCGTTATTGTGTTGAATACGCCCATTCTAACGTCCTTGTCCCATGTTTCTAATGTAAATTATGACTATACAGTTGTCTCACATTTCTCAACCAGGTAACTATCAATAGATTATCTTTAAACCTCATCGAATTGTGTAACATGAAAATATTGAACAACTTGTATATATTGTCAGGATAATATTAAGGGTGCTCTCCAAGTACTAACAAAATCAGGAGAATGGATTAACGCTGATCCAGTACCAGGTGCATTTGTTGTTAACATTGGAGATATGCTGAATGTAGGTGGTTGCATGCGATATATTGCGCAGTGTTTCATATTAATTCACTAACTTTTATTTAACTGTAGACGTGGACTAACGACATATATAAGAGCACATTGCATAGGGTCGTACACACGAGAGATGAATATCGAGTCTCGTAAGTCTGTCAACCCCTGCCAAACTTGCTTGATTGTATTAACAACAACCCTAATTTTGACACGTTCTTTTCGTTTCCTCAGAGTTCCCTTTTTCTACGAACCTAATTTTGATGCATTAATTGAACCACTTGAGCCATGTCTCAAAGTTGACCCTACCCGTCATCACGAACCTGTCGTCTATGGAGATCATCTATTGAGCAAGGTGCGTTACCTTTTTAATTGATATAGAATTGCCAGACAACAACTGAACAGATATGGTACTATTCTAACTCGTTAGGTTTCAAATAATTTCGAAGTTGAAGCGAACTTGTAATATCACATACGAATCAGAACAACGGCGTATTGGTAAACGTCACTCGTAATAGAGTGAAAGTTGACCCAATCCTCAGCACTTAAACAATTCGCCGATTCGCATAATTTATTCGCAGTCTTATTTTTTCCCCCATTAAATTACCTAATGTCATTTGCTTGACAGAACAAGTTTTCGGTTCTTGAACATTAATCACTAACAACAAACTAGAAATAAGTATCGCATTATAAATATATATTTTATTGCAAGTTGTACCTTTATAACTTGTTACAACTCTTTTTCATAGTTCATAATAAATTCTTTATTATTATTTATTTTTTATATATACGCGTGTATGTTTGTCGACATCACAATTCTACGAGCTTGTTGATGCTGAAGGCTTCTTTTTCTTTTCCGCTTCGGCTTCCTTTTCTTTCTCAATTTCAGTCACTATGGCTTCAACCTCGTCAATTTCTAGATTCTAAAAAAGGGATTAGAGTTAGGGGATGAACTTTTATACTCAACGTTCAAAGACATTTTATAATCTGTAAAGCAACCATTTCTGTTATAATTCCACTTGCTCAACTACTCATCACACTAATGCTTTGTCTTAGATGATGCCTTGTACTTAAATTCACATCTTCGCGCAACTCTCCCCAAATTGTCAATCATTAACCAACCTTTATGCCAGCTTCCAACGTCATAACCGCGATCTCAATATTCTTGGCACCGGTTTGGACAACCTCAAGAAGACTTCTAACCGTCAATTTGATTGCTTCATCGGTATTAAGTTCGTCATTATAGTTTTTTTCAAGAAATTCGCGGACAGTGTTCGAGCTTCTGCCAATCGCATTCGCCTGTTTCAGTTTTCCATATAATTAAATTATGTAAACGTCTCCAAATTGCTTGTTTTATGCTATCTATTCGGTGACCATAAAAGCACTGGTACATCAGTTCCGTGTAAACGCTCTCCGAATTCGCAACCCACCTTCCATGCATAGTAAATTCCGGAAGGATCTGTTTGATACAGTCGCGGCGTCTTTTCATGCGGATCAAATCCCATAATCAATGTCGAGATACCGAATGGACGTACTCCACCACTTTGAGTATATTTCTATTGGGGAAGAAGAAAAATCAAAAGTTTCTGCTAAGCATTTCTCCTGACAGTTTATTCATACTTTGTCATACTTCTCATTCAAACTCTTCACGTTTTTATGACACGACTACAGAACTGATTGCATTTGTTCAAACCCTCCCCCTTCTTTTTTTTCGCTTTAACCCCCAAAGCAAAAAAATCTTATATGGGCTCACCTGCTGCACACTGGCAATGTAACATGTTATATACTCAATGCTTACTGGATCCTCGACCGTTAAACGATGGCTTTGACACTCTACACGCGCTTTGTTAACTAATACGCGCGCATCCGCACTTAGGCCTTTGTTTGACGGAAAAATCATTTTTTTCAAAATGTATAACAAGATCAAGAAAAAGATTGTGAATGAGGTCATTGATCAATCGATTAGAATAAAACGAGAAGAAAGTAGAATAATAGATCAGGTCGTCATAAATACAGGGAAATGGCATTACGGGTAAACGACTCTGTAAGCAACCGCATACCTGCAAATGCCATGCAAACGTGATCATCCAACATTACAATCTTCCTAACAGTTCTTGGATCTTGTAATTTCAATACAGATTTTTTCTCTACGCCCAATACTACGCAGTTTTTACCACGTACTCCGACCTAGTAAGAAGGTATGGCAAAGAGACTGATTAGTTAAAGACAACATTCCAAACGTATACATGTTGAAAGTTAATCGATAAATTACAAACATACTGCACATGTCCCCTTCCTTACTGCCTCAATTGCATATTCGACTTGGAATAAGTGACCATCAGGCGAGAAAACAGTTAACGCTAATAAACACAGATAGCATCGATTAGCTTCAAATGACAGAAAATCCAATTAATCGTCTCGGTTTACTCTCATACCGCGATCATAAGACCTTGCCATTCCTTGAAATTTGCGTATCCAAGCTATACAATCTAATTGTGTTATTAAAAACCAATTATAATATCAAAGTCTAAGCATCAAAAAAAGTTCTCACCGCACGAGTGATAGGAAGGAGAGTATAAAGAACGGTAAAAACAGAAGTGAATTCTCCAACGATAAAAATATGCAATCAGTCGTACGTTGACGATGACGTTTGATGGAAGATCATATCACGTGTTTTAGATAGCGATTAAGGAAGACTCTGTTGCGAGTACATTGCAACCGGTATCACGCCTTCGTTGATGAAAGAAGAAGGGGCCTAAGCAAAACATGAGGCATCGCTAGGCCTCTTAATCATAAACCAAATTTTTTACCCTTTGCAGAAGGGTACTAGCTCGTATTTGTTAACGTTATTATTATAATCAGAAAGGGGGAATTTTCTCTTTCGTAATCTATTAAGCTTTTGCTATTTATTATTGTTGCCGTTCCTTGTTTGCCGTTTCAGAACAACGATGCAAGCTGCTTTAATATTAATACAATGGATCATTGCGTTTGTACCTGCAAAAGTTAATCGTTCCCTTTATTTTTTCATAAACTTGTTGATGACAATAAAATAAGGATATTAAATCAGGGCATGCTGCTACAAAACCAGACAAAGTGAACATTTTACCGGCCAACAGCACTAATAGCTACACATAAAATTGTTAGTAGCATGTTATTGTGACGAAACGCGATCGTGATTTATATATTTACAGAGTAGAGTACGGACGACCCCAAATAAAATCATATTACCCTCATTATCACGCGTAAAAAATTCAATATTTATTAATGGAAAATAAATTGTAGCCAGATGCGGCCCGCAATTATAACATCATTTGCTTCGATGAATCGTGATTCTAGGAAATGCATCATTATATAAACAATCCAGAGAAATATTGGTGACACATTGACCTGGTATAATTTGTCGGGTTTCCATATTGTAATTGGTCGTGAGTACCAAATTCAAACTGAAAATCAAACATTATGTTAGAAGTTTGACACATTGATAAAAAAAAGATGGTTTATGTCCGAGGTTGGATATCTGCTGTTCTTCTGGGTCTGTCATTGACACAAATATTGGAGAAGCAGAATACTTCATGAAAACTTTGCAAGTCATTAACTAGTAAGCTTTTACAAAGAGTCTACTTAATACAACTTTACTCTATAGTAATAGGGAATGATGATATGGATAATCATATTATCAAGATTGACATATTATTGTGACTAAGCCAAAATAAGCAAGTCAGTTACAGAGTACAGGTATTAGTATTACTAGTGAAATAAAAGCTAATTTTTGGTACTCGTATCAAGACTTCCATACACACTTGCTGTTGGTGTCACCTTGGATGAATATGAACAGCGTTCGGACAAGTTTAACATTCGTGGTTATTTGGAATGGGTCGATTATAAAGTCATTATTTATGAACTTCCATCAAAGCCACGCGAAACTCTTATTGGTACAATCTCTGCAGCAATAACGATAAAATGTGTTTCTGTGGATGAAACTGACGCCAGTATCGGGAATCTCGGTTCAATTCGTAAATATTAATTAATTGATTGTCAGCCTTATGTTTGCAATATCAAACAAATCTTTTTTTTCTTAAGGAACTCGCGCTGACGATTCTGCGAAGAAAGCGGATGCATGTTTCGCCCTTCAAAACCACGAGTGCGACCACCAAACGGGAGTGATGGACAGGTACCTTATTTTATTGGCTGTAAACTCTTCAGAGCTAAGATTTATATTTTCACGATTTCGGGGTGAACCCTGGCCGAATCTCGTCGTCGAAGTGGCGTATTAGTATTCTGAGAGTGAAGAGCATGTCCCGAAAAGGCGAAAGATTACTGGCTAGGTAATCTTAGTCGTGTTCATGATGCAATCATTGTTAAGATTGATAAAGTACCTCCAGGCCAACTTCCTTTACGGATGCAAGTAAGTTATTTATTCCTCAAGCATAGATATTTCATTGTTCGTTTGTCATTTTAAAAAATTTAACCCGCACCAGACATGGCATTTTTGTTTGAGATGTGATCATGCTTTCTTTGTGCACCATGTGCATAGTAAGTCAGTGCAGGAATGGGATCTGCTCTAGTTGAGCGTTGAAAGTTGTAGCACAGTGGACCCGAAATTACGCTGATTTTAGTGCTTACATCTAATGAGCTGGCTCTACTCTTCTAGGAGTCAGAACTGGACGTCCGCCGTCCATGAAAATATCGGGTTCTACTTCCAATGCAAACGTTTGTTGGTGAAATCCTAAATTCATCTACCTGAAAGTTGTTCTCATCAAAAAGAACATGGTAATGGCAGGGGCAGGATGTTCCTTGAAGACTAGCACGTTGCTCTCCAGTCAATTGTTTGCCTTGATAATGCTGACCCTATGATTAAGAAGAGAATATTAACAATCTTCTTTGCTAATAACAGTTTGTTAGATT